TTGTTTTCAAACAAGTGGATGATATAGCCCAAGAAGGCAAATTCTTTTTTTTTTTTTTTGAGCCAACACTTAATCTGCTGTGTTAATTGGTCCATATATTAATCATGACCACTGCTGATCTTGTAAAGGAACTTCTCTGCAGTACACTCCAGAACATTTTTTTTTCTGAGAATTATGCAAACTGGAGTAGCATTTTACAGCTGAATTTATATTTACCAGTGAATCTTAATGTTCACATATCTTTATATGTCTAATAGTTATCCGTTACTGTGTAACAAATTACTCCAAACCTTAGTGGCTTTAAATGGCCACTAATTTATTTTATTATCACTCATAGTGTTTATTGTTTTTGCCATTCAGGAATTCATGAGTGTCTTGGCTCGGTGGTTCTGGCTCAGGGTTTCTAATGAGGTTGAGTCAGTTGTTAACTGGGGCAGCAGCCATGTGAAGCCCTAACTGGGGCTGGAAGATGCACTTCCAAGGTGGCTCACTCACATGATTGGCAAGTTGGTGCTGGCTGTTGGCTTCTTGCCATGTGAGCATCCCCAAGAAACTGCCTGAGTAATGGTCTGCAGAATCGTGACCCCTGTGGCAAGCATACTAGAGTCTCTGTGTAGAATTTTCAAAATATCACTCTTATTCTGGGATTCTGATTATTCACACTGATAATTGTGGGAACAATTTAGAACTAATAGTGTACATAATAGGAAGAATTACATCCATGTCATGATTTTCTGAACTCAAAGTCAATGGCATTCTGTCTGCCAAATTTAGGGTGTTATTCAAGGTCATTTTCAGGACAGTCCAGTGAGGTGGGTATTATTATCACTTCAAATTTACAGATCAGAAAACTGAGAAAGCAACTGCTCAGATAATTGCCCCATGGAGCTAAAATTTGAATTTAGGCATTGGACTCTGAAACCTGTGCTCCTAAAAATCAAGCTATACTGTCTCCTCTTTGGCTCTTTTTTTTTTTTTTTTTTTACAAAATTAAAACTTCATTTTATTATGAGAATTTGAATATATAATAAAGTAGACAAAATATTTCCTGAACATACATGTACTCAGTACCCAGCTCCATTGACTATCAACTTATAGCCATTCATGGCTCATCTACACCTCTCTCTCCCTTATTTATTTTGAAGGAAATTTCAGATATCATGTCATTTCATCCATAAATATTTCAGTATGAGTTTCTAAAAGAAAAGTGCTTTTTGAAATAAACATTATCAGATGAAAAAAAGTAACACTAATTCCTTATTATCAAATATTCAGTCAATGTTCAAATTTCCAATTGTTTCATAAATGTCATTTCTTTTTAAAAAATATTTTCATTTGAGTCATCATTTGAATAATGTCCACACATTGTGATTGGTTGACATGTCTTTTAATTTTATTTTTATTTATATATTCCTCTCCATCTTTTTATTTTTTATCACTGATGAACATGTATTTCCAAGACTTGACTATTATAAACAAAGCTGAAATAAATGTCCTTGTATTTATTTTTCTGGGAACTGATGTTTCATGTTTTTATCTATTTTTATTGACACATTTAATTTTTTCAAACTGATTTTTAAGAGTTCTCTAAATGTTAAAGAAATTAACTTATTTTCTAATATGAATATTATATTTTTTCCAGCTTGTTTGTATTTTGACTTTTATGGTGTTTTAAAGTTTAAAATTTGTGTGTTGCCAAATTTATCAAGTGTCTGGATGTCTCTCTCTCTCTGTCTCTCTCTCTCTCTCTGTCTCTCTCCTGTGATTGTCCCAACCATTTATAACTGATTTCAAGATTTTATAATTTATTAGATGTTGCAAAATTGTAATATTCTATAATTATTTCATCCCTTCTTTATTTACTAGCTAGCTGCAATACTTGTATAAAGAGAAACACCCTTCATCTACTATTTGGTTACCCAATGATTCAGTTTATATAAGAAAGAGAGAAAATAAGAAAAATCTCAAACAATCTAACATTACACCTAAAGGAGCTAGAAAAAGAAGAACAAAAAAAGACCAAGTTAGTAGAAGGAAATAATAAAGATCAGAGTGGAAATAAATGATATAGAGAAAAAAAAAAAAAAGAAAGAAAAATAAGAAAAGGAAAAAAAGAAAAAGATCAACAGCTGAAACTAACAGGTGGTTCTTTGAAAAGATAAACAGAATTAGTAAGCCTTTAGCCAGACTCATGAAGAAAAAAGAGGGCTCAAGTAAATAAAATCAGATATTAAAAAAAAAAGCAATCAGAGAGAAATTAAGAAAGCAATACCATTTACAATTGTATCAAAAAGAATAAAACACCTAGGAATAAATTTAACCAAGGAAGTAAAAGGCCTGTACTCTAAATCTATAAGGCATTGATGAAAGAAATTGAAGATGACACAAACAAATGGAAAGATACACTGTGCTCATAGGTTGGAAATTAATATTGTTAAAATGTATTATCCAAAGCAATCTACAGATTCAATGGAATCTCTAACAAAATACCAATGACATTTTTCACAGAACTAGAACAAATAATCCTAAAGTTTGTGTGGAACCCAAAAAGACCCCAAGTAGCCAGAACAATCTTGAGAAAGAGAAAGTTGGAGATATCACACTCCCTGATTTTAAGTTATATTACAAAGCTATAGTAATCAAAATGTATGGCACTGGCCCAGAAACAAACACATAGATCAATGGAACAGAATGGAGAGCCCAGAAATTAACCCATGTTTAACTGGTCAATTAATCAAAGGAGGCAAGAATATACAATGGGGGAAAAGACAGGCTCTTCTATAAGCGGTGTTGGGAAAACTGGGGAGCTACATGCAAAAGAATGAAACTGGACCCCTTTCTCACACCATATACAAAAATAAAGTCAAAATAAATTAAAGACCTAAATATAAAACTTGAAACCATAAAATTACTAGACGAAAGCATGCAGTACACTCTTTGACATTGCAGCAATATTCTTTTTCGATCTGTAAGGTAAGGGCAACAAAAGCAATAGTAAACAAATGCAAAAAAAAAAAAGAAAAAAAAACCCCACCAAACTAAAAAGCTTTTACACAGTGAAGGAAATCATCAATACAACAAAAAGGCAACCTACTGAATGGGAGAAGATATTTGCAAATTGTATGTCTGATAAAGGGTCAATATCCAAAATGTATAAAGAACTCTCTCACAAATCAATATCAAAAAACAAACAATTTGATTAAAAAATAAGCAGAAGACCTGAATAAACTTTTTCCAAGGAAGACATACAGATGGAAAAAAGACACATGAAAAATTGCTCAAATCACTAATCAACAGGGAAATGCAAATCAAAACCACAATTAGGTATCACTTTGGACCTCTCAGAATGGCTGTTATCAAAAAGACAACAATAACAAGTGTTGGTGAAGATGTGGAGAAAAGGGAGCCCTCTATCAGTTGGTAGGAATGTAAATTGGTACAGCCACTATGAAAAAAGTATGAGGATTCCTCGAAAAATTGAAAATAGAACTACCATATGATCCAGCAATTCCACTTCTGGAAAAAAAACACTAATTCAAAAAGATATATGTACCCCAATGTTCATGGCAGCATTATTCACAATAGTCAAGATATAGAAGCAACCTTAGTGTCCACTGATAGATGAATGAATACAGAAGATACGGTATATTTTATTTACACAATGGAATATTATTCAGCCATAAAAATTATGAAATCTTGCCATTTGCGACAAAATGGATGGACCTGGGGGTATTATGCAAAGTGAAATAAGTCAGACAGAAGAAGACAAATACAGTATGATTTCACTTATATGTGGAATCTAAAAAACAACCAACCAACCAAATAAAACAAAACAGAAACAGACCCATATATACAGAGAACAAACTGGCGGTTGCCAGAAGAAAGGGAGGTGGGGAAGTTGGGTGAAAAAGGTGAAGAAGACTGAGAGCTACAAAATATATAGCTCCAGTTATAAAATAAATGTCGAAAAGATATAAGATACAGCATAAGGAATATTGTCAATAATATTGTAACAACTTTGTATGGAGACAGATCGTTACTAGACTTATCATGGTGATCAATTAGTAATGTATATAAACGTTGAATCACGATGTTGTACAACTGAAACTAATATAATATTGTATGTAAACTACAATAAAAAATAAAGGCTAAAAATATTGTAATAGATAAAGCAAAAAAAAAAAAAAGAGAGGGAGGAGAAATGCTAGATTATTTCTATTTATTTACCAGCTTTCAAAATAATGACTTGATATATATCTACAAGATGACCAACTGGATTTTTAAATCATTATTATTAAGACAAGGATTTAAACAAACTGATATGTTTCAATCTATTAAAGATATTATTCTCAACATGCTTAAATGATCCCATCTCTGGCCAATGAGAACCTCCTTAAGCTGGCTCCAGAATCCTTCTGATATAACTCTAGTAGTTTTTAAGAGTTTTTTTCCTATGAATATGAGAAAATATTCTAGACTTACCTTGTGGATCTTCTGCCCCAGTCTTGGACTCAGGCATTTTTTCCAAGGTCTTACACAGAGATGCAGCAGGATATTTTAAACTTTTGAGTGAAACACAGCAAAAATCAACATCTGTTGGATAGGATGTGAACTACCAGCACAAGGTAGATTCCATTTTCAACATTATGTAATGCTGTAATATTTTCAGTGATGGCATATATTTGCAGTCCTAGGTTTTTGGTGGTTGCTGGAATAGAAAGCAGTGCCTCTGAAAATCAGTGTGGAACAGGAAAAGAGAGCGGTGTGTCCAATCTGATTCCAAGGTTTGAGAGGCTCTGCAGACCCCAGCAGGTGCACTTATCCTATTAGTAATTGTCACTGTTAAAGAATGAGATAAATTCTTTTTTCAATTTATGTGTATTACTTTTTTTCAAATGACTACTAAGTTGTTAGGAAAGAAATACTTAAATTCTTCGGACTTAACTACTTAATAAATGAAACTATTGAATTTTTAAACTTTTTTTTTTTTTTTAATCTAGGGCTACCAAGAAAAAACTACTGAGACATCAAGACATTGTGAATGGAGAATGTTTGGGAGCCTCTGGATTAAACTGTCCTTGCTTTTGTCTGTATGTGGCTAAGAGTTCTCTTGTGGGTCATTGCTGCCATTTTAAAATTTACTTCTGTTTATCTTAGTAGTAGTATCTTTTATCCGTGTTTATACTGTAGCAGCTCCTTTAAGCCACTTGCCCAACAATTGAAGGTTAGTGTAGCTAAAACAAGATAATATACTACAGTTGAAAGTGGTCACAGTGCTAGTTTAGTAAACTATTAGTCTATCCATTTGTTGAGAGTTTGACTCGCTTTCTCTAACACCTTGTATGTGCTGCTGGATTACTTCAGGGGCTGATTTCCTTATTGAAAAGCCACATCGGCAAATTTGATTTCAGATGAGTGTGGCTGCTCTACCAGGCACAGGTTAGCTTTAATATATCATAATATACTGAAGGCAGATGAACAAGAGCAGGTGCCACTCTCGATTTCATGAAACTCCCACTCTTGTCTCAAGACCGTTTAGGAATTTAAAGTGCATACAACCACTTAACGTACAGAACTAGGCAAGGTGCCAGGGTCGACTGGTGTATGAGATAATAACAAAGCTAAACTACTTTATTATTTTTCTTTAGATAAAATGAAATAATTGTTCTAATAATTTTTCTAGAATTCCTCAACTGTACTGGAGACCACTACTCTAGACCACTTAGTTACTGCATGGTAACATTTTCCTTGCTATGTCTCTTCCTGAGCTAAACCAATGAAGCCATTTATTGGCCATCATGGCCTTAGGCAAGTCAACTGGGACCAGGTTTGCACCATTTCCTGACACTTGCTTGGTACAAGAGACCCCGTCTGGCTGTCTTGTTCAGAAACAAGTTAGGTGGCCTGCACTTCTGAGTTTTCATAACAATTGGAGCAGAATATTCTGCATGGCAGAGTAAATTTGGGAACTATCAGGGTGGGTTTTGTTTCTCTTGGTTGGTTCCACCTCCCAACCATCGACCCCCTCACTGAACTAACACCCTCTGTGGCCTCAGGAGGTGTTCATTTGTTCCAGGGATGGCCAGACACGGAAGAGTCAGGAAAGAAAATGTTATTTGCACTTCTAAATACATTGAAATATCCATAGTAGACTTCCAAGTCTTGGAAGCCTGGGTGCTTTTGATTTGCAAGAGCTTTCTGAGAGAGAAAAGTTTTTTTTTTGGAATTGTACAAGCTTTACTTTGAATATCAAGAGCCGAAGGTCTTAACAAATATTCGTATGTAAAGTTTATCCATTAACTGTACGTGTGAGAGAATTGTGCCACCACCTCTACCCACTCCTCCAACACATACTTTTCAAAAGAAATTTAAAAATCTGTCCTGCACTGAAGATGAAGACAAGAATTTTCAAGGGTTAATTATGTCCTTAACACTCCCATCCACCAAGACAGAGAGGGTGATTACAACTCCACATAAAGTTTGGAGGAAGCTATGGAAAAGATCTGTGATTCATTTTATTTTATTTTTTTTAATTAATTAATTTATTTATTTGTTTTATTTTCGGCTGCATTGGGTCTTCGTTGCTGTGCACAGGCTTTTCTCTAGTTGTGGCAAGTGGGAGCTACCCTTCGTTGTGGTGTGCGGGCTTTTCATTGCGGTGGCTTCTCTTGTTTCAGAGCATGGGCTCTAGGTGCCCGGGCTTCAGTGATTGTGGCACGCAGGCTCAGTATTTGTGGCTCGCAGGCTCTAGTGCACAGGCTCAGTAGTTGTGGTGCACAGGCTTAGCTGCTCCGCGGCATGTGGGATCTTCCCGGACCAGGGCTCGAGCCCGTGTCCCCTGCATTGGCAGGCAGATTCTTAACCACTGAGCCAACAGGGATGTCCCATGTGATTCATTTTAAAGAATAGCCCGAGGACACTGTTAGCTTCTCCATGAACCCACTGGCTTGTTTGGTGTTGGCATGGTGAATCAGTAGTGAGGCGGGTGTAGACAAATAGGCTGCAGACAGCTTCACAGGTCTCAGACAGCAGAGCATTCCTGATCTCTGAGAAGGTTTGGGCTGGAGGGTGAGAGGACCTGAAGGGACATCACGGTGGGAATGAAGAGGATGCAGAGTTCATGGACCATTCAGTTGGAAATCTTGGTGAATATACAGATTTCATGTCATTTTCTTCTGCTTGCCTTATTACTATCATCTTTAATAACCAAGGACCAGGTGCTCTCCCCCTGCTGCAATGACTCTGCATATGCCCAAGAACAAAGATACAGCCCCCAGGGAAAAGTGAGGGGTCCCAGAAGCTTGAAATGACTAAGATCCTGAAAAAAATGATCCTGAAAAAAAGATATTGAAAAAAATAATTTCATTCAACATGTATTTTTGAGTTTCTACAAAGGGGCAGAGATAGTTCCAAGGATTGAGGAAACAGTGATCACCACAGGAGATAACCATTTTGCTTTTAGGCATTCTCAAGGGGTAGCCTAGACAATAAAAAGATAAACAAAATGCATAGCATGTTTGACCATGTGCTATGGAAAAGATTAAATCAGGGAGATGGAATAAGTAGTGTTGAGTAGGAAGGTGATGGGCAGTGATTACGAGGGGAGATTGTAATTTTAAATAAGGTTGCCAAGAAAGTCCTCACTAAGAGAATAACATTTGAGTAAAGACCTGAAGGGGTGAAGAAATGAGCCATGTGGATAAGTGGGGAAAAAGCATTTCAGGCAGAATAAAGAGTAAGTTTACCTAAGGCTGGGGCATGCCTGATGGGCTGATAAATAGCATAGAAGCCAGTGTAGCCAGCACAGAGTGAATGGGGGAGATGGCTAGGAGAAGGACTCAGAGAGTAACAGTGGGAGAGTGTGTGTGTGTGTGTGTGTGTGTGTGTCTGTGTGTGTGTGTGTGTGTGTGTGTGTGTGTGTGTGTGTGTGTGTGTGTACTGAGATGGGACACATATAAAGAGTTTGGAGGAGAAGATACAGACCTTCCTTACAAGAGAATTCTGTTTTGTATATATTGATATTCTCCTCTTCAGGAGGTAGACCCTCTCTGCCTTGAAGGTGGGCTAGACTTAGTGACTTAATTCTAAAAAGAGACTATAGGAAGGGAGAAATGGTAATTTTCCAGTAGAGAAACCTGGAAAGTTGTTCCAGGAAATACCGGGAAACTGTCATAGACTAGAGGAGACTATAATGAGTAAATGAAGTGTGTCACCCTTAGATCCTGGAACAGAAAGAGGATATTATTAGAAAAACTGATGACATCCAAATATTTATTAATATTTAATAATCCAAATTATTATTAACTAGGAGACTAGTTAATAATAATGTATCAAGGTTTTTGTTCTGTTTTGGTTTAGCTTTGACAAATGTTTTATGGTAGTATAAGATATTAGTGATGGGTGAGAGGTATACTGAAACTCTCTGTATCTAGGAGAATGCAAGCATCTCCTCTTACTTAGAAAAAGATGTCCCAAGATTGTCTACATTACCTGGAGCCCTGAAGTTATCAAAGAGATTCATTATGGCTATGAAAATAACCCTGGACAGCACAACAATATGGAATAGGTAACCAGAGCCAATATCGGTTGCCTTGGTTACAGGAGACTTGCTGCTTACAAAGAGAAAAAGTCAAGTAGATTCAAAACCTTGCTACCTGTGAACTACAAAAAGGAAAACACCAGTCCTTCCCAGGGAATAGTACAGCATAGACCTACTGAGCCTGGGAGGCTAGGAGGGGAAGATCCACGTGGCTGGCTAAGGCTACTTACCAATTTCCGCATGTCTGGCTTGATTATGTGTTTTCCTTGATGTGGACCCATTTTTTTAGAGCTAGAATTTGAGTAATTTAAGTACTTTTTAAAGCATTTATTTTATATCTTGTACATGTGCTACCAAGATTGTTGTAGTAGTTTATACTCATTAGCTTCTCATTTATTTTACATATAAAATGTTTCCATTCGTTAAAACAACAGTTAAAAACAACAACAAAAAGACTGAACACAGTATGGAAACTTAGGGACTTATTACTAACAGGGCATAGAAACATGTTAGTGAATTCAATTTCTAACTTCAGCATTGACCATCTACATGATTGTGAATTTATTTCTTCAAAGAAGTCTTTATTCTCAGATTATTTTTGTTTTCATTATAAATGATAACTTTAGGGTATGTCATGTTCCCAGTGTATTTGCTAAATTTTATTATTAAGCACATTTTTTTAAACCTTGCTTAGATATATAAGGCACATATTCCATTCTAATCTATAATCCCCAAGGGCATGTATATGTTGGGAAAATGTATTATCTCTTGAGATAGCGATATTTCATTCTTTTAGAATTACATAAACATACTTTCATATAATTCCATTAAAAAGTATACAGTGTCTGTTGACAGTAAGGTGAAAGGCAATTATGTCACCACCGACTTTAGAATGTCTCCTTAGGCTTAGATTATCTTTGACATTTCCAGTTTGGGACTTTTCTCTTCATCTAATAAAAATCTTTTTTTTCTTTTTTTTTTTTTAACCCTTTTATGGATCACCTGTGAAGCTGGATGGACAACCAAAACCTTTTAAGTTAGCATTTTGCTAGCATCTTTCATGCCCTAGGCAAAAAAACATTGTTAATTTCCAGTCCTTTCACATTTCAATCTGTATGAATACGCACCTGATATAGGAAACTCTAGGAGTATGAGAGAGGAGCAAATATGTTGAAATTATCCCCACTTATCAATTCCCTAAAGTGAAAGCGTGACCTTAGTGACTTTGTATCTGAGTTCTAGTAAGGAATTTTGTTTTTAAAATGATACAAATCCCTCAAGATATAAATTTCTAGTGACTTTAAGGAGGTCTAAAGCGGGGGAAAATGGTCAGCTGGAATACAGACATGATTCAATGGCCAAAGGACATTTTTGAACCTTTCACTCAACGAGTTTCTAGATTTTAGGACCTGGGAATTTTAGCTCCCTCTTTCTCCTAGGCATACACATACATTTAATTCAAATGCTAAAACAAACAAACAAAAAACCAAAACACCAGAATCATTGTCCTTTCATCATATTTTTAGGAACAATTAGACAGTTTGTTTTTTATAGCAGAATGGAGATGCAGAGGTTTCCCCAGACTTCAGGGGCTGGTTTCTCAGTCATAAAGGATCTCTGCCCTTTGAAGGCTGCAGTTTGTCATGTCAG